CGCGCGAACTTCATACGGATACGGGGAGGGCCAGGAAACAGTGCTCTGATAATTCTGATAAGGTCGGTGCATGCCCGCGTATTTGCATCGCACCTCCGCGCACCGATACATCTACACACACGGGCGCAGCGACTGCTAAAGGACAAATAGGAACATGCGTGATAGGACAAGTTACCAAGTTAAATGGTTCGTGAACGCTAGTTGGAATTAGTCGTTCCCCAGTTGCTAAATATAATGCTGGCGACACGTACAGGTATCTATCTATGAGGTATTCATCCATTCGCCGGTTCGAAAATGTTTCATACAATCGGCGGCATTGTATCGTTACACTATATACGGTAGACTAAATATATAGCGGAATATGATGCTTCTTAGAGAAAGAGTGAATAAAATGTGCATCATACATATCTATCGTGCCGTGTCATAAAGATAGCTCCGATAATTATGTCTTTTTCTGAAAAGCATCATGAAGACTTGTAATTATCAAGCTCCCTCATTTACTATAATAATGCTCCTTATGTATGAAGGATACAGATGCTTTCATGGCGTGGAATTATAGCGTCCAAGGTTAAAGTACAGCAATGTAACCAATCTTGCTAAGTTTACTGTCGCGGAAGAAGTCTTATGTACGACGGGAGAGCGGGAGCCATGAGATTCGTCTAGTTGCCTGCTGAAGGTAGCTGACATCATCGTCGCGACCCAGTTGAGGATCCGCCCGGTTACATTATGACGGGTACTTGAAACTTGGCGAGTAAAAAATAATTTTGCCCACGATATTCGAGTCCCTGAGTATTCTCTCGGCTGGCAAGTGTTCCCGCTGATGGTCTCTAAGTTATGAAATGGCCTCCTGAAACTTTTCGACTAAAAAAGGAAAAAAAACAGAGGAATAAGGAACGCAAGAATAAATTAAGCAATGGAACAAGCGTATTTCGAAGTCGAAATAAAGATCAGAATAAATTCACCCCGAATTATCGACACTCTGTCAAATCGATTTCCTCGACTTACAAAGTTGAATTATCGTTTCGTGGTAGTACTTAATATCTTATGCGAGAAAATAGTATGAAATTTGAAGACTACTTCATCAATAAGAAAATTAAATATTCAGTCGAATCAATGGTTAAATTATTCGATCACTTAAAATTTTACGCGCAAGTGACGAGGGTCTCAAACAAAAGAACTGAGAAGTAGCAATTGCCTTTGCCTCGTAACTTTTCTAATCCAGGCGGTTGCGTGGAATCCTTTTTGATCGATTTGAATTCTACATTGCTACATAAGTATCGCTTATTTATTGTCGCCTGGCCATTGGATAATGCGTGCCTTGCTATCGGCTGTACATGTGTATAACAAAGTTAGATAGCAGAAGTATCATCTGCATTAACGTAGCACCTGTCCGTGCAGTATGCAAACTTTGCCGGCATCATTAGCCTGACCCAGGCTGGCTGCAACGACTAGATATATTTAGTATAATAATAGACGCTAAACTTGTCCAGTCGTGAGCCAATGCATAGAGTCGATAATACTGCGACCATCTGCCGCCTATACTTGATCAAGCGTTCCTTTCGCATACTTGACGCAACTTTGGTATGCTCATTGTGTGTCGTATACGAGCTTGCGCATCGATTTGAAACTTTCACGATATATCGGAACAAATAAGATGATAAACACGTAAATACCTTGCGCAAAGTTTAGCCCATACAAAATAGCTTAAGAGATTGCAAAAATTTCAAAAAAATTGAAATATTTAATTTTGTAGAATAATCCAAAAATATTTGTCGTATATCTCATATTTTTCATTTTTTCGCTAATTATATTTTATAAATTTTAAATGTTATATTTTTAGAAAAATGTACATATTTTTTCACAATTATTTTATACGTAACAGTGAATATCATCTTTATTTATAAAAGAACAAGCTCCTGTAATTTTTAAGTATCTCAGTTGTTTACTTAAATAAATTAATATCTGCCTTTTATATGTGTGTGTGAATATATAAAAAGTATCATTATACATTATTCAGCCACCAAGTAATTTTTTACTATAGTCTATACCGCATCCAGGAAACTGATTAAAATTTAACAAACTATCTTATAGTTATCTCGTTAACTGTTAGTTTTAATGAAATTTATGTATGCTAAAAAGAAATTTACGCGGACAGCATGTTGCCGCTATACGGTTTATTTAGTACATTGTACATATGTCTTAAATGAGCATTAATTTTCGCTGCATACGTATGCTCATACGGTTAGCTATGTGAATTTAAACAAAAAATATTGTGTGCTACTGTATTATATTATATATCAAGTTAAACAAAACTTAAATAAATTTGTAGCACACACACACACATCTTTATAAAATCATAATAAATGTAAATAGACTTTACCTCAACACTCAAGTTTTGGTCACTAATGAGGAAAATTCAAAAGTTGCGCAAGAACAGCGACGCTTAATTAAATTTTTGCAGGACAAAAATTGTCCCTAAATTTCTTAGAAAATATGCTCCTGCAATTTGACGCGCAAAACTTTATGGAATATCCTGGATAACTTCAAGAGAGGAATGTTGTAGCAGTGTGTAGAACTACGATACCTCGTACAATCGACGCACGAATCTAACAAGTACGTTTCAAAGTACGAAGTGCACAGATGTTCGGTCCTTGAGGGAAATACTGCTCGCGATATTCCCCAAGTTAACATCCGTCAGCAGCAACTTACAATTAGAAGCGGAACCTCGCGACAATCGGAAGAGGGTGGATAAAGGACTTGGTGTGTGCGTCGTATTTTTACGACCGTCTGCAAATATTGGCAAGTGTTAACTCGACCGCGCGAAGGCACGCGGAATTAATAATGACGAAAGAGCGAGGAGACACTCTTGACCAAGGCACGGGCGCACATATATCACAATGCCCCATTATGCTTATGAATATAAATGTACCCTCGGGGTGGCCGCAATAAATGCCGGCCACCGCGCCGCCGGATCTCTGAATTCTGCTCTACTGCACGTACACGTGGTAGCCGCGGAGCAACGAAAATAAAAACGGCGCGAGCCTCTAGCTTCTCTCTTCCTATGTTCTTTTTTGTTTTTTTTTTTTTTAGCTCGGACCCTCTAGACGAACACCGGGCGTGAGGGCGAGCATAAAAGAATAATTAAAATAAAGTAGGCTGCGCGTAATTTCGCCGAAATTATACACGGGTACTATAATGATAACAACGAAATGGTTAATAAGTCGCTGCCTCTAGGCATGCGCAATTTCCTTTGTAAACTCGATGAAATGGCCTCGGAAAAGCCATTTTCTATTCGAATCGAAAAAGGAAGTCCTAAAGATCATACTTGAAATACATATTTGGCTTCTTTAACAATCGTTTCAAATATACTGTTTTTAACAAGTTTTTATTTATATTTAAATGGAATTCAAGCATTTAATTCATTAAATTTTTGCCATTAAGAAACGTGAGTCAATGAATTCATTATAAAAAACCGACAACGTTTATCGTGTTACGTAACTTGTTGTCAGCGCAAGGCCACAATGTTATTCGCATTAAGGTACGAAAATACCGTCGTTTCTCAGTCATTTAGACGACCGGTGCAAAAATCTCCGGCCACAAGTCTTGTCAGTTTCTTCTTTAGCGATTAACTTGTAGGGGTTGCAGCTCCCACAGCTACCTCCTCTCTTTTTCCTCGCCAGCACTCTTTTATCCGCCGCCTACCTTCCCTTTGGATCGCTTCCAACCGTTTGAATCTTCCCTCACCTTCGCAATCGGTGCAGCCGATATCCTATCTCCGTCGCTCTCCCTTTTTTTCTTCCACCCATTCCGAGATGGTCCGTTCTTCTTTACGTTTTATCGCGTTTGTCCATCATCGCCATTTATCTGAGGCGTACTGGCCGTTGCGGTTAAACGCCATGACGTTAAAAACTCCGAATCATCACATTACCGCATAATAGATATAGATTAGCATAGCTATCACATAATTGTGTGTAAATGCTGTATAATTGCGCAAAAACTGCGCATTTATACAAATAACATAGTCACAAATTCAATTTTTGTTCTTTTATCAGTATTGTTTTTTCTAGCAACAATAATATACCATCTATTATTTTTTTTATGTATCACCTTTTTCACTTGAATTTCAATAAAACTTCAATATTGGTTTAACGCTGAATATTGAACGACTGAAAAAAAAAGGTTGTTTATTTGATGCACTGACCACAATGCTAAATAATGTCAATTTTCACATACGAAAAGATCGTTTGTTTCAAAAACAAAAATGTGGGTTTATTTTATAAATAAAAATAAACTTGAAAGGTTGACGAAACTAAAAGAATTAGTATTCATGCTTGTCAATATTAACCGACGGAGTAATTGGGCGTCTTACGTTTTCATTCATTGTTATCTTCTTCACTCAATCGTTTACTCCCCGTTATTAAAAGCGACTTTGTTAACGTGGTAATCAAATTTAGATCTGTACGGCTTGCCGCCGGCACATACGCCGTTTTTATCAATGATCCTTTTTGTCTTCGGCGTGCTAATAAAAACGGATCTATCCAGCAGGCGTTCAGTATGTACCGCAAGCTGACACTTTTGCGGTATTATTGTGCTTTGTGGAAGACCACGCATAATGGTCAACGAGATTACCCATCATATGACGGTCGCTCGATCCTCATAAAGGGAATAGCACGCGCATTTGTCTCAGTGCTAAATAATAATAACCTATAAATAATACTGGCACGTAAACAGATGTTCGCACATTACAACGTGATATTTTTCTAAACCAAACATATGACAGAGACATTATCACGCACAATTATTACGAGTGTTATTGCGTAAAATAGTGATGTTACATAATACACAACTCTCTTCGAGGATAGAATAATTACAATTTCGTTTAAGACTTGCGGAGCTCCCGTGCACTTTTGAATATCCCCAGAACACCGGTTTATATATCAACTGTATTTCTGTCTTGTTTTTCCAACGATAACGATCGCTGTTATTTTTGCATGTTACAGTTTGCAACCAGTTTAGCAGAGGCGTGTTTTCGATGTTGGGCGCCGTAAGTCCAGACTCGTTCGATACGCTGCACTCTTACAGCAACACCTTCCAGATGCCATTTGTGACACCCTGGTTCCCCGAAAAGGTAAACAAGGTTTTTTTCCTCTTAAATTGATGGTGAAATAGCTTGTTTTTATTATCCAATACTTTTTATTTCTTTTTTTCTTCCTCTCTTACGACAGCTAGATAATTTCTTAAGATTACATCAGAGTGATAATTATTATGCGCATCAATTAAATGTATACTCATTGTATACTCATACAAATTATAATTTATAATTCATCGCTCATCTTACTTTTTAATGTTTTCACGGAATCTCGTAGTTATCGATTCAGACGAACCGTGGTTTCTACAGTTTTTAGTTTGTTTCACTTGATACAATTACACGATTAGTCATAGCTAGTGGTTTTTCGCGGAGTACGGTAATGAATCGAAGTCTTGTTTGGATTTAATTTATTCATGAAATCTGTTTTTCATGGAATCTGTGTTACAATCTGTATATCTTTTCTTTGGCGCATTGAAGCAAGACGTAGAAGGAAATCTGAAAGGCATTATCCCGCAAACTGGTTCTGCTTAAATTATCTATGAAATTTAGATTTTGTTTCATCCTGATATTCGATGCTTGTAGAAATATGTAATGTAATTATTTTTTAACAGCGGTAGGAATGTTAAATATAGTATTATGTAAATCATATTTCTAATTTAATTCCAAATTTTCTCAAATTTATTATTTCATGGAATAATAATTTAAAAATTCATTTAAGTTCATTTTAGAAATCGTATATTCATAGCGGAATAATGTATCGTTTATAACTTGTTTGCGACGGTAAATTTTTCGTCACGTTTATGAATTCGGCGCAAAAAAAAGAGATGTACGCGCGCGTGACAATAATCGTGTGCGAAATCAATAGTACCGTTTTAAGCTGCAGCTGATAATTAGCGGCGGTATGAGACGCCTGATGATGGATTCGGTCGATATGATCATCCATACAAATATGTAAATATGTATGCAATACATACGGCATACATATTACAATTTGAATTTCGAAATGAATTGGCTCGTCGAAAATTTATTCGCCGGCTCGAATTGCCGCATTTATCGCGCCGCTGTACCATGCGCAAAACTGATATCGCGCTAGGCTCTATAGGATAAACGTCGAGCTCGATCATGAGTATTTCGATCGTTGTGTGTGTATTTTTCCCACGATATATTCCCACGTAGTGTAAGTTTATATATATATACTTTTATATATATATCTGTACGCGTAACGAACGTCGATGTCGTTTAAATGGTAATCGCGCGGTAATGCTGATTCGACGCCTCGGCTTTATACTCCTTTTCGTTTTTTTTTTTTTTGAGGCCAATTACGGTTTGCCAGGAACGGCCATTTATATAGAGAAAATCCTTTTCAATTTCCATGAGATCCTTCCTCGCACTGCGCTTACACCGCTGCCTCGCTCTCAAGAAAAAGAGACGTTATCGATACCATTGGAAATTCAATACGTGAATATGATTATTGCGGTTGGACGATGATTAATTTTTGAAACGCGATAGGATATTTATTCCATCAATATCTAAAGAATCAATAAAGAAAGCATTATTTTAAACAGATTAAATCTACATAACCACCTCGCAAAATTTGATCCTTTTTCTAAAATTTCGCAGCGCCAGCCAAAAACGCGAAAATATTTTGCGAGAAAAAGCCGGGCGGAAACTCGACAAGCGGAATAGTATCAAAAGGCATATATTTCGACGGTAAATCACGCCGCGCGTGCACCAGTTGCACATTCGTGAGGAATTAAATCTCAAAGAGAATTCATGAACGGTAGAAGCTCGATTGCGACCGGCTTAGATTAAAGTTTCGACGGAGCTTCCTATCCTTCCTAAGTAGAATTAATTTTGGCTTCGCGTTAAGCGGGAGACGTACGGTTACTTGTTGAAAATTTTACATCGAAAATGATTCCGTGGATGCCGAAATGCACGAGATTATTGTATCTAGGTCCTGACGCCGTCTTCGGGTCTCCTGGACTTCGCCATAAGTATGCGACCGGATTACCATCGCGCTATCATCGATACGGTGCGATACTACGGATGGAAGAAAATCATCTACCTCTACGACTCCCATGATGGTAAGTCCTTTACCCTGCGGCTTTCTCATGCATTTCTCATTTTACAGCGCGTAGCCGCGGGCTGCAGCGCGCACCGCTCGCTACAGCTCATGCCTTTTCGCCTCCGCCCCCTACGATATTTCTCTTTTTATTATTTCCGCCAAGTAGGCTCGGTCTCTCGTGGCCAACTTCGCCGATATCGTAGACATGGGATATCGAATGGATTCCCCGACTTCTGCGCGGAATAAAAACGCGCGTACGCGTGTCTGGCTTGACACTATATAACCATAGCTCTGTATATACACGATATACGATTTGATATATGTCACGAAAAATCGAATCCACTAAATTCACAACGGTTACAATTCGTTATATCCGGTTGATTAAAACAGTTATATATTTATAACCAAAAATAAAATTTACTCTGCCTTGATTTACTTCAGATTCTTGCTCGTGAATTCGTTGAAAAAAAATTCGATAGAATTCATCAGATTTTTTTATTATATTGAAAGAAGTCTGTTACCAATGTAAAAAGATTCATAGCTTACACAATTAGAAATTTATATCGTATATTTAAATAATGATGTTCATAAGCATGTTAAAAACGTAATGAATCTATAAACAACAGTGCTTCACATGCAAAAAAAATTTCTATAAAATATAATGATAATTCCTTCATCAAATATAATACTTTTAAATAAGGCAAAATAATGTACGAGATTATGAGATATCATAGCTAATGTCTTTTTGCAACACGTTGCTACTTAAAAACAAATTGCGTAATTAATTAATTACTCGTGCCATGTATTTTGCCCGCTCTTTTTTTTCTTTCCACATCGTTGAAGTCATATGATTTTCAGTAAAACCAAATAAAATTATGTGCACACATATTATGCAAACACTAAAAACACTGAGAATTTTAAGTATAAAACTAAAAAGAGACATAAATTTCTATTTGCCATAGTCTATCGCTTTTTCATATATAATTGCATTTTCAATTAGAAATGCTGTTCTCATATAAAATCAGTAATTGCACGCAAGATCACCGATTATATTTCTTTCCTCAACATATTTCCGCATGTTGAGGAAAACGATTCGATGTGTAACGTCTTCTCAGACAAATCACACAGCCTCGGGCAAGGTCTTCGCCTTTTACTTTCGCTACGATTGCACGGTTATCTGATTGCCTGGTCTACGTGAATATAACGCTCCGGGAAAATTGATACACTGAACATTCAGTCACTTGTTATTTAAAGAAATCCGAACCGATTATTATAAATTTAGATTATAATTTTCTTATTACATATCTTTCCTCATTTTCCTAATTATATATGCAGCTTATATTCTTGGCGATAAAATAAATAATTAATGCATATATAAATATGAAGTTAAAAGATAATCTATTTTTCTGACAAATTATATGTATCATTATTTAAATATTATATTTTGAAATTAAATTTTGGTATATATACAAATTTTTAAAAGCTTTATAAAAATAGTCCATTTTGTTCAAATTAAATTGTGGAGCATAGAAACGAGTTGCTTTTATATCTTGAAATTGCAGAACATCTAATATAAATTGTACCAAGACATCACTTTCCTCGATCTGTTTCGCACGAAATCTCATGTCAATCTTGATGCTAAAGGCGAAGCGACAGCGGTTTAATTACTTAATTAATGGGACACGGGGTAACTCTGACTGAACGAAACGATTAATCACCGTGGATCGCTAGACAGTTTTGTATCTCGTCGACTTCCGGCTGTTATAACTTGGTCACGTGCCTCGGGCACGAGAAAGCCATTTGGAATTCCTCGAGCCGACCAATTGCTCTTCTTCGACAAACTCCGATAAGAACGAGCTGGAGGTAGTCTAGTATCGCGGAAACGGAGGGAGTTTAATTACCGAATGCAAATGCAAATATACTTTAGGGACTATCGTGCTGTCTCCGCGCGCTGAACGACCTCTTTCCTTCCTTCCTCTCGCCTCACCCCGTCCCGCCTCTTCACACTGCTGCTATCTGACGTAGTTTAACCATGCCGTTTCTCGATTAAGGCGAGTATGCGGAAAGGAGCAAGATGATGAGCATTCCGAGATCATTTGGATTTTATGGCAAATTTTTCATTCTTAGCCTTTTTCGTGTTTCGCGAATAATTGTGGATAAAATGTAGCTGTGTTAACGATGAAACATAATTTGTTTGCGCAATACAAACAATCGCGGCAGCAATTACACTTGTACGGAATGTAACACAAAAACACCTGTGCAGAATAATTCTCTCATGGCATGCACCATGTTTTTTTACTCGAATCAATATACCTTTGATGTTAACTACAAACATATCGATGTTACAAATAATAAACGCAGATAAACAGAATTAAGCTTTATTTTTATGATTTATTTTTATGATTTATTTTGTTTTTAATATAGCAAAAGTCACAATTAGCAAAACCTTACTAATTAATTAAGAATTTTTTAAATCATATCAATCTAGCATTACCAAAAATCGAATTTATAAGGATTACAATTTGTGGTATCCAATTATTGCATCTGAACAAACTTTTGGTCCAATTCAATAATTAAAACAGAGATATATATTTATAACTGGATGTAAATATTACTTCACCTTGTAGAATGCAAAAAATATTGGTTGAAATATTCATTAAGTTTTTGTAACATTAAAGGAAGTCTATCAGTAACACGAAGAATATTCATAATTATACAAGATTTATACGTCAAACGATGTGTAATAGAACCACATGCCAACAAAACATCAATTATTCTTTAATCGTAAAAACTTTATTTAAGTAGTCACAAAAAATTATTTTTTCAAATAAGAATAAGTTATGCAACTGGCATCATATAATTGACATGCATAATAACAAGCATTAACGTCATAGAGGCGACTATGCATCACTAACTACGCAAAAAAAATTATCAAGTCAAAACCAACGCAAGAATGCTTTGTAGAATGCTTCAGTTCTCGGTATTCTATAATATTCTTGACGTGATGTGTTAAGAATTATGTAAAGTAACAGTAACGACATCCCTAAATCAATCTGACATACCAACGTTGCTCATCGCGTGGAAAATAACTGATGCAATTTCAAAGTTGAGTTGTGTCGGAGGTTTTCTCAATTGCACCGTTGCGCTGATAAAATGGATCGCCATCGGTCAGGTCGATCGTATCTCTCGCGTCGAAGTAGAACCGATTGCGCGAATGATCGAGAGAAAGTGTAAGAGCAAGCTCGACGGATTACGTTTTATTAGATTTTCCTGTCGATGGTACAAAGATTAGATCAGATTTCTAGATTGTTACGTTCTTCGGAATTAGAGCGTCAGAAGTTAGCCGTTGATATTTCACGTCTAAAGCGCTTATCGACATAGTTTCCATGATTATTAGGTAATTATATTTAAAAAACAGGAAATCTACGATTGATGAAATACATGGCGTTTCAATGTTATGTAGATTAAATGCGAAATTAATCCGGAGGCTATCGCGACATCGCTCAAGGACATAAACTTTTTCCCGAACAAGGCTCGCGTTTTTACCTTTCAAGGCCGAAATCCAACGTGAGCAATTTTTACCTTTGGAAAGCAATTTAAAACTCTATTCACGTAATCTGTCCTTCTTAGACGCAATAGCGGAAATCATCGAGATAGCGTGTAACGCGCACAATGGCTGGAATAAAAATATACAATTTGCATTCCTTTCGTCACTCTTGTTCTCGTGCGTAAGATATTAAATAAACATGACATAGACACAGGATAAACGTTTATGGATCGCGTTCTCGCTTTCAATTAACCAACGTTTATACGCGGAACTGAAAACGTCGCGTCTGTTATTGCGTTTATCCCAAAGTCAAACCCAGTGCAGTCAATAACAGCGAATTAATAGCGAGCATATCAGTTTTCCCAGTCAGTCCTATCATTCGACATCCAATACCGTCACGCCTGCCTGCCGAAGTGGTGGAAAAAAAATCACAAACCGTCCAGTAGAGCAATTTTCAAAACACCTGACACATGACATACACGTTCCACGCTTTTGGCGCTAAAAGGCGGTAAACCGATGAAATGGAATAGGGTAAGCGAGATAAAATCGTGCGAAAAAAATTATAAACGAATACGACGCTTGTACAAAATGCGCTTTGCGCGCGCGAGAAATGGCATAGGAAAGTAATTAGCGGTTACGGGGCCACGTTGTTGCTCCTCGGCCGGGAGGGGATTCGATTAAAATCACGGTGTCGTGCCTGCGTATCAGAGTCAGGCTCAGTTTCCTTTCCGGTGTCTTTCAGAATGACAGCGGCGTCGTTGTCGCCGACACGCGTCGAGATCCCGGCATCTCGTTCTCGGTTCTCGTGGTGGTGACAGGTGCTTTACTATAAGGTGAACTGTCGATATAATTATTTTCGCGAGTATACTTTCACTGCATATTTCGTGCTACGCAAGCCGATTAGGCTGAAATCGTGAGATTATTCCAGGATCGTAGTTATAAAAAAAATTATAATAATCAATTATAAAAATTTTATTCTAATTTTGAAAAATCCAGGTTTACGTGATTAGTGTTTTTTCTTTAAAATAATTGAATGCAGATAAAATGAAGATAGTTTTTTTTTTATCAGTTTGAAAGAAATATTACTTTTACGCCAATTCTTTTTGTCCTCGGAATTCCATCTTTGCAAACGGTGCTCTGATTTATTAATATGTGCGTTAATATGCGTACATGTGCAGTGTGCTGATTGAATACGGCCATCGCACGGAATTATCATAAATACTGATCGCCAGACAATCAGGTTTAAGGCGATCTATGTTGCAGAATCGGTTTAGCGAAAGAGAATTAGCATTAAAGATTCAGATACGGAAATAAACACTGGGTGACATTATTCGTCACGATCGTAATTCATTATGTAGACGATTCAAAAAGTGTGGTTTGCGCCATTATCCGTTCAATCCGTCAAGTAACATGAGCGAGTAATTCCCGATTGCATTTAGTTGCCTACCATAATTAGGTAACAGCTCGCTGATCAAGGCGAATTAAATCCTCGCGTGATAATGGCACGTCATAGTTGAATCTGGTGTAACGACGTGATTGCGATAAAATATGCGCGTACGTATAATGACTCTTATATAACTGTCAATTAATCGGGTCGATGCTCGCTCGAGTTCCGTATTAGCGAATGCCTGTAACGCGTAAAGTGGTTTATTAGTGCACCATGAGTAATGAAACATTGCGGTAGAGCAGGGGCTTGATTTACAGCGGTATTATCATTGCATACCGGCGATTTGAGAAAAGAATGTTAATTCGATTAATATCAATATCCATAGAGATGTCTTTGTGGAATTCGGAAAACGTTTATGCTCTTAAAGAACATTTCTCTATTTGTTACTTTAACAACTTTTGAACTTGTAAATCTGTTTAAACTAAAAAAAACAAGTATTTCTTCAAGTGTATTATTTAATAGAATTCACACCGAATATTTCTCGAATCTAGTAAATTAGCGCTCGGAATTAGTTGCACATTTCGGGCCAATTCAAGAGACGACGCCTCCTGTTCCTCCACTACCGCTCGGCCGCCAGCGGCCGGGCGGTAGTGGGGGGACAGGAGGCGTCGTCTCCAGAATCGGCTCGAAATGTGCAACTAATTCCGAGCGCTGTAGTAAATCATATATATGTTTCTTATGCTCTAACTGTATACAAAAGCTCAACAACACAACACTGATGTAAATATGATGTATACAAAATCAAACGGCCGTGATCGGTACACTTGA